TTTTTTCCTATCTTTTTCCGTTTTTCGTTATCAAGCTGCGACTCGACTAGATCTAGGGTTTTATGTTTATAACTCGCTGATGGCCCCTGCGGCCAAAGCCTTTGTAATTCCTTGTAATGATCGCAACGCTCTTACGCGAATCGGAAATAAGATCGACTTTCTTTATAAATTCGTTTTATTATGTTTTTCATATTTTCCGTATTTATTTGGTTACTTGTCGTTGGCTTTCGCAGAGATCCGGTTCCTCTGGAAAATTAGGGTTTTCCTAAGTTTCCTTATTTAACGGAAATCGACAAGTGTGAATTTCGGTTCCCACATATTTCCTCGAGGGTTTGATGATTGGAAGATGTGTCTAAAGTAACTTGTAGCAATGGCTATCAGTCCTTCCTCATCCTCAATGACATTCCCATCTGCATCCAGTAACTTGGTAATTCTATTCCTCGCTCGTCCCTGCTTTGTGAGGGCATGAAAGAATTTAGTATTTCTATCGCCTTCCCTTAACCAAAATACCCTACACTTCTGTTTCCAAAATAGCTCTTCCTCCTTAAGAGCGTTAGACAATTCTTTTAGCGCCGCCGCAATTTCTTCTGTAGTGGCATCGTCGTGTGAAGATAATTGGTCCATCTTTTCTTTCAACTCCTCTACACTCTTCTTCGAATTCAGATTATGTTGCATTTTCCATTCGCTTAAGGCTCGCTGGCAACTTGCAATATGTTCCATGATACTTGCATCTGGTGGGAGATCTGGTGATTTCCATCCCTCAAGTATGATTTGTCTGAGCTTCTCATTGTCCAGCTATCTCTTATCAAATTTGAAATTCTTTTATCTCCTTGGTTTCTTTTTAAGGATGTCCGCTAAGATCGGACGATGATCCGATCCCCAACGTCTCATATACTGTACTTTGGAATGAGAAAACTTCTCATGCCAGTCCTCATTCCTAACAGCTATGTCAAGGCGGCATCTAACCGTAATCCTCCCTGCTCTCTTTCCAGCCCATGATAGCATGTTCCCCGTAAATGGAAAATCCAGCATTTCACAATCACTTAACATTTGCTTGAAGGGTAGGAATGAGCTATCAGGATGTTGCCTGCCTCCTTCCTTCTCCTCATGACAGGTAATTTCATTAAAATCACCTATCATAAACCATGGTCCATTTCTTTTTGTTGAGAAACGCGTAAGACGTTCCCATACAAAGTCTCTACGTTCTAAAAAAGGATACCCATAAACAAACGTCATAAAGACTTTTATTCCATCAATGACTGCCTCAACGTCAATCCTTCTATTATTGGAAAATAAAAAATAAAACATTAACTAGAAATTCATCATTATAAAAAAGAGCAAAACCGCCGCTGAGACCAAGTGGCTCAACGGTAAATACACGATCAAATCCTAAGTTGGTCTGAATGTCTTGCAACAGCAGCCTCATGTTCTTTGTTTCAAAAAGGAATACAAGTCCTAGGCGATGCTTCTGACAGATCTCCGTAAGGCGTCGAACTATGAGGTCATCCCCAATCCCTCGATAGTTCCAACTAATTGTCCTTATTCATTAGATGAGGATGGGTGTTTGGACCCATCAAACCTCTCCCTCATTGTTGGAAATTGTTCTAATATTTTTCGAACTATGGTGAGACTGCCTTTTGTTGTCTTTGTCTCCTTGGTTGTGCGTCGATGCCATTGCTGCTCTAATCTTTGGAGAACCTCGATGGAGGAACTCTTGTTTCTTTGACTTGATCCCCAAAGAAGGATTCCTCCTATGACCATTGCGTACTTGTTTTGCCTCTTTTGAAGTTGGTTTGTCCTTTGATGTTGTTGCAAGTGTTGTAAAATGTGACGGTTTATCTAAATCCAAGAGCTCCTCGTCGAAAAGATCATCCTCACATGCCATCATATCATCTTTGGCAGTAGTTTCTAACTCCATGCCACTCAGCACCTCGAGAACATGATCTCCGCCACTCTCAATATCCAATGGTTGGATCGAAAAGGTTAGGGACCACGCCACACTCTTACTGCGAATAGTAACATTTTCTTCCATGGATGATGGATAAAAAGCATGGGAGACAATTGCATTTGCTATTCTTTTGCTCTGTTGCACTCCTCCTTTCAGCTGTGCCTCCTTTTCGCAATTCTTAGAATTTCCAATCTTAACCGAGTTCGTCGCGTCGCGTAATTTTTCAGAAGGAACAATCTCACGGCCTGCGATATGCTCACGCATTCCAGAAGATTTGCCATCATTTTTACCAGATCTTGTTTTCTCACGCCAAGTCTTGTATGGTTGGTGACGAAAATAAGGTTCACGGTAATGTCGAGAGTTGTTGTATCTCTGATGTTTAGACCCATCTCCACTTCTCCTTGCCTCCAGTACGTGACACTAAGTGACGAGGATGCATGACAAAACCTCTATCATCCCTGTGTGGTTCCCCACGAGAAGAACCCACCACAGTCTTCTGATCATAATCAAGATGTCCTCCTTGACCACGCTGATCTACACCCCTATCATTCAGCAAAGACTGATGATCGGTCTGTTGGCTAGGGAGCTGGCACTACAAGAAAACACCTCGATTCCTAGGGACATTTTCCTCGGAAGGTCGTCGGAATCAAGCGATTCCGACGATATTCCAAACAAAAAGTCCCTCGGAAAAATCTCCTCGGAATCACAGTATTCGTCGGAACTTCCTCGGAATATTTCGAGGACATTCCGACGGACAAAATTCCGAGGACATTCAGAGGAAGCTTTTCGATGGACATTCCTGCGCAAGACCGTCATCAATCTGTCCCGTCGTCTTGTTGGTGTGGATCCTCATGTACAAATCGAAATCACCCACGGTCTCGCCATCATTTTCTTCCGCCTAGGAAAACACATAAGTTAAAAAAAAAACATTAGAATACAGAAAAAAATAAAAATATTTAAAATTTAGAAGAAAAGGAGTTTCAACTTACCAATTTGTCTGCGAGAGTGGGAATAGACTGAGCACCCAAATTGTGCACGAAGATGCCCTTCCCGCCACGATCGCTCTTGCGGTTGGTGGAGTTGGTGTTAGAGATCTCCTTCGTCTCGGTCTTGTTCCAACGGATACACAACTCCTGCCAGACCGTCGTGTTGATCGACTTTGGGACCTTTTAATGAAAAAAAAATATGAAAAAGTTAAATAGAATGAAAAATATATTAATAAAGTAAAAAAGATAGTACCTTATGCTTGAGCCGCTTCTGCTTCCACTCATATATTTGCCTTCCATAGTTCTCCATACACTTATGGACGAAGGCGTTACGGATGAACGTCGTGTTATCGGGATGCCAGGTGAACTCTTGCTGAAAAAAAAACATGATTAGTAAAAATATAATATTAAAGAAAAAAAAAAGAAATTTAAAAAAGTTAGAATTCTTACAGCAAACTGACGAAACCACAACTCCTTCTCGTTGTCAGGCATCACCGAGAAGGTTTTGTATCCCCTCCTGAGGTCGGAGTACATCACCCTGTTGATCCAAGCACTGATCACGTTATGGGATCGGTTGAACCTAATATTAGAAACAAATTATTAATAATGAATCAAATTTTTAAAAGAAAGAAAAAAAAACTTTCACTTACCAAGTCTGACTGTGTCCCCTAGGATACTGAGTGAGATAGGGGAGATGCTCACGACCTGGCTGTTGCACCAGCTGTGCAACAGACATCACTCCTGGAGCGACAGGAGGCTCGGGAATGTCCGGAAAGTCGTGAACGACAGGAGGAGCCTCATCAGCGATCAGAGGAACCGCCTGATGAACCGAAGCGGGATGGATGTTCTGCGATGATGAAGAGGAACCCCGAGACCGGTTGGACGAAACCCGAGAAGGGGTCGTCGGAGGACCACGGCCTCGCGGTGCGGAACGACGAGGTCGAGCCCTCGTACTCTGCTCACCAGAATCCCTATAATTTTTTAAAAATAAAGATTTAAAATTAGTTTTTAAAAATATAAATGAAAAATTAAGTATTAAAAGAATATTTAAATTAATATAGAAATAATTAAAAAATAAAAAATTGTTATAAAAATACAAAAATAGTTTCATAATTAAAAAAAATATTTATAAATTATAAAAATGGCTAAAATAATTATTAAATTACTTTTAAACTTATTTATAAATTATAAAAATGGCTAAAATAATTATTAAATTACTTTTAAACTTACTTATAAATTATAAATTACTTTTAAACTTACTTATAAATTATAAATTATAAAAATATTTATAAATTATAAAAATGGCTAAAATAATTATTAAATTACTTTTAAACTTATTTATAAATTATAAAAATGGCTAAAATAATTATTAAGTTACTTTTAAACTTACTTATAAATTATAAAAATTATTTTAATAATTATAAAAAATTCAAATATATATTTTAATATCAAAAAAAATTTGGTAATTGAAAAATTGAATTTTAAAAACAAAATCAAATTCCCTAAAACCTAATCAAAATCAAATTCCCTAGAACCCTAATCAAAATCAAATTCCCTAAAGCCTAATCAAAATCAAATTCCCTAAAACCCTAATCTAAATCAAATTCCCTAAAACCTAACAATATAACAATCCTAACAATCTAATAAACCTAACAATCTCAATCCTAACAATCTAATAAACCTAACAATCTAATCTAACAATCTAATCTCAATCCTAACAATCTAAATTCCCTAAAAACCTAAGAAAATCGGATGTAGAACTTACATGGGGATTAGGAACGGATTTAGAGGGGGATTTGGAGGGGATTCACCGGAAAATCGCAAGGGAGGAGAGGAATCGCCGGAAAATCGCAAGGGAGGAAGAGAGAAAAGAGAGAAAGAGAGAATGGAGAAGAAGAAGAAGAAGAAGACCAGTCTCGGGTTTAAAACCCGAGACTTCCGAGGGAAAATGAATCCCTCGGAATTCCGCGGAATCACGAAAATTCGATTTTTCGCGAAAATTTTGGCGGTTTGGTTTCCCGGTTAATGAAAATTTCCCAAGGAATTCCGACGGAATTTCGAATTTCCTAGGAATTCCCTCGGAATTCTCTAGAATCAGAGAATATTCTCTGCATGTGTTCCTATTGGTCAGGCTGTTCCTCGGAATTTCCTAGGAAATTTCCTAGGAAATTCCGAGGAACCATAGTTTAGGGTTTCAAAATCCAAAATTTAAAACTTTAGACCATTCCTTGAACAATTTAGCAGTTTTTCCTTGGGTAACATTGACAATAGATGTCAAATAAACGTTGAAATTACAAAATTATTGAAATGAGTGCAAGTATTGTCGTTTCTGTTCATTAAAGTGTATAAGTGTTTATCTTGTTGTTTGGGGATCTCGTTGATACAATCGGAAAAGTGTCTATTAATTGGTACAACACCAATGTCTTGTCCCATAATTAATCCAAGACACTTAATAAGGCTTATGAAAGTCTTGTGGAAATCGTAAATCGGTGTTTTCGATTCTAAATCATCATTCCCTCAGAATTTCCTAGGAATATTCCTAGGAAATTCCGACGAAATGATGGTTTTCCTCGGAATTTCCTAGGAATATTCCTAGGGAATTCTGAGGGAATTAAACCCTAAGATCAAATCCCTAAATCCGATTTTTACAAGGCAATATTCCTAGGAAATTCCGAGGAACACCCTGCAGGTCCTCGGAATTTTGAAAAAAAAAAAAAACCTATATTACTCTGAACCCGAGTCATCATCACCACCAGATGAATCTGAATCTGGATCTTGGTGAAACTCTCCAATCTCTGATTCATCCTCGACGTGAACAACGGCTTCGTCTCCAAAATCGGTAGAATCGATAACAAGATCAACTGCAGCTACATCTCCTGCTGCACTTAAGTTGCCGGATGTGTTTGGTTGGAGTGGGTCTTCCAGCTCAGAATTTCCCTGAACTCGGCCTCTCGGGTTGAGTGATGTAACAGTGACCCATGGATCATCTCTGTTCGTAACCCGGGGGTACTTGATATAACAAACCTGTAACATTTTAAATTTGTTAATTAATGATGATGAAGCAAATATTGAAAATAATTGACATCTATATTTTTAATTACCTGATCGGCCTGAGAAGCAAGAATGAAAGGATCGTAATATGGCAGCTNCCGGGGGTACTTGATATAACAAACCTGTAACATTTTAAATTTGTTAATTAATGATGATGAAGCAAATATTGAAAATAATTGACATCTATATTTTTAATTACCTGATCGGCCTGAGAAGCAAGAATGAAAGGATCGTAATATGGCAGCTTTCGCCTCGAATGTACTGATGTAACACCAAATGCATCTGTTCTAACACCTCGATCCGGAGTGTTGTCGTACCAATCACAATAGAAGACAGTGCACCGCAATCCAACCATGCCCGGATACATGATTTCCAAAATCTCGCTTATGTTTCCGTAGTATACATCATCTCCAGATGCAGAGCAAACACCAGCATCATAAGTCGTACTCGAACGTCTCCTATTAGAAGTTGTGAATGCATATCCCCGAGGATATGACTTCACCACATACTTTGGGCCCCACACCATCTCGCGTAGCCAATCGTCAAATGTTTCACCTCTGGCCATACCATCAGACACCTATTAATAAAACATATGTTTTATCTCTCATATTAGTATAAAAATGTGGTAAATAGTATAAAAATTTGTTTAAAGCACTCACATAAGTAAGCATCCATCGAGCAAATTCTCTCTGCTTCAGTGCTTCTAGTTCCTGTTCTGTGGCGTATCTATTTTCGAACCGCTTTTCCGCCATGAAAATCATGTACATATGATGACAATATTAAAATTTGAACTTGTTAAAATAAATATTTTTGAGCTAAATTTTTTACCTCTCATATTGAAGAACATCTTCGCAGTTGGTGAGCAAATATGTTTGCAATTGACTGTGCTCCTCCTCAGTAAGTTGACGGTTCTTTGCTTTTCCGCTGAGTCGTCCAACATCTGTGAAGATGTCTGGAACCGTAACATAATATGTTGCCCTTTCGCCTCTATCGTCATGCCGAGCAGGTTTTCTGGTTTTCATCTGCACTTCTCCTGGAAAGTAGTGCTCCGCAAAGTTTGAAGTTTCTGCTCTGATAAACTGTGCCACTATAGAACCTTCCACCCTACTTAAATTTTTCACCATCTTCTTCAGATGAAACATATACCGCTCATACAGATACATCCATCTATACTGCACAGGACCACCAAGTTCCAGTTCTCTTG